CGCGGAGGGGCTGCTATCGGCTGGCGGCCCACAAGCTGCTCAAGGAGATGGTGCTGCTGGAGCGGCTGCGGCACCCCAACGTGCTGCAGGTACGAGGGTGGGGGTGCGGGGGTGAGGGTGCTGGCTGGACGTGCCCAGGCCCAATCACTCTGCCTGGAAAAAGAACCCTTGTTCTTACAGATAAAGAAGCAGAGCCCCAGTGACTGTGCCCAGGTTAAGCTGGGGGCAGGACCCCGACCTTGGCCGCTTCCCACTACACCACCCTGCCTCTCACTGCTGGGTGGCCGTCCCTTTACGGAGGGACTCCCGAGTTTCTCAGCTTTCACACTGTATCCCTTGAAGTCAAAGGCAAGGACAGAGGGTCCCCAAACTCGGGGTGGGCGTGGGAGCCCGTTGGGACTTAAGGACCCTGCTTCTGGCTGGAACTGGGCTGTTAAGCACAAGGGAAACGACACTGAATAGAGGTCATCCCTGACTCAGTATCCCAACCGCAGTGATAGGGTCCCCTTTCTTGATGGAATTGGAACCCCACTTCGCTCAACTTCCAGTGACTTATCTGGCTTTGAAGTTGGGGTGGGACAGCAGTGAGATTAGGAAGAGCAAGGAAGAGACCAGGCTTGATTCCCAAAGAATATTCCCACCCCCTACTCCCCACCCTACCCAGAAGCCACTGGAAGGACTGGAGGGGATTGAGTTGTAGGCCAGAAATTGCACAGCCCTACCCAGAAGAGGCCCTGGAGTCCTCCAGGCCTTAAAGTTGGCTTTCGAACCATTGCGGAAGCCTCAGGGTCCTAGCCTGGGGAACAGGCTGAGGCCCTGAGGGTCTGAATGTTATGTTATCTGAGCCAATGTGGCCAAGAGGCTGGAAGCTTGAGAAGGCTAGATACCCTGGTCCTACTAAATGGGACTCTGTTTCTCCTGTTCACTGAGGGGCGAGGGGAAAGATGAGACCCCCACCTTGTCCCCTCCAGGCCAGAACAGGAGAGTGGTCCTCTCACAGTCCCAGCACTGCCCTTCTTCCTCTCCCCTAGCTCTCCTCCGGCCTTGAGTCAGCCCTAGGATAGACACCCCGTTCCCTTTGCACATGTCTGAGCAGACTGAGGGGAATCCCTGACTGCTCTTGGCCTAGCGAATGTAAGGCGTGTGCAGGCTCCCCAGCTGAGGAACCTTGCCCACACCTTCCACCTCATAGCCCAAATCAGATTAACCTTTCTGCACCCAGCAAAAGTGACCAGAAACCCCGGAGGCCCTCCCTTCTTTTCTCAGGAGGGGGATGGACCACAGGTCTGGGTGGGTATTGCAGAATAAGAGAGAGAGGCCAGAGAGCTATTTATACTCCTGCTGGCTCCCAGTCTCCCCAGGCTACTCCAGCCCTGGTCAGACACTTGTTCACTGGGTCCTGGGCCTTGAAATGGTTGCAGAAGGTCAGGCAAAGCCAACAGTTGTGGGTGGTTATGCCTGGTTGCACAGCTGACACAGCGGAGCTTCAGGGAGTGAACGGCTGGTTACGTGGCCATTCTAACTGGGAGGGTCTTGTTCTCATTGCTTCCCAGGGGCTCCTGGGAACTTTTTGGAAACCCTGGGGTGTCAGCCAGATTCCAAGGGGGTGGAGAAGGTCTTGAGTGTCTTAGCAGGATATTAAGTGTTAGTTAATTGACTCAAGATCCTCCTCCCTTTTGACAGATTTGAGGTTTGACGTGCTTTGCTGTCCCTTAAGGAACTTCTCCCGCCCTCTCTTACCCCACCCAGACTTCCCGAAGAGCATCCAGTTAACCGCCTCTACACACATCACAGACTGGTCCTCCACTTTAATGTCAGGCCCCCAGCCCAGTACTGATGATGTCAAAGGAAAAGATTACAACTGAATCGTTTTCACCCATTCCTTTTCTAGACCAATACTGGGTCTGTCTGGGATTGGCTGTGTGACTCTTACAGGGTCGAAGACTGGGGTTCATTGCCCTGGGGCACAAGTGTTGTAAGGTGGGGAGGGTCCCAGGTCCTTTCTATCAGGGCAAAGGTGAAAAGCTACCATTATGGGGTAGTGGAGGTAACAATGTGAATTTAGGGACTGCTTTGGTGGTGAGGCTCCTACATTTATCCCCTGACCCCCACACTAGTATCTCTCTGGCTTCTTCAGCAGTGTCGCCTCTGCTGCTGGGAAGCCTGCGTGGGCTCTCCCTGCTCAGGAGGCGTCAGCTTGGGTGTGCAGAAAGCTAGAAATAATGTTTTATGAATACCTCATAATCATTTAAAATTTCAAAATTGTTCAACTGTTTGCTGAATCAGGGAGGAGCCAGAGAATGTTTCCCACTCCCCCAGGCTGCCCTAAGCCCCCTCCCCTCCTCTGGCAGCCCTCCAGTTAATGCTGTGGGTTCAAATGGAAAAGGCCTAGGATAGCATGTCCCACTGGGCACTTCCGAGCACCTGCTCCAGTCTCCGGGGACTGCCTGGGTGAGCTCTCTCTATCCATCTTCTGTGACCCCTCCCCAGCCCACCTCTGACAGACAGACACACACACACAGAGTCCCTCACGTGATAGATGCCTCTATAGCCCAGGGTCAAAGGGTACAGGGGTCTTCCCTCCCCTGCACCTCTGTCATCCCCCAGGGCCTCAGGCCTCAGATGGGGCCCCAGGCCTCTTCCCAAATTCTGGCCCTGCTAGAGTATATTTCTTCTCCCAAATGAACAAAAGATGCAACTGAAATGCTCAGCCTAACGCTTCCTTCTGGTGGTGGGGGGGGGTTAATGGTGCTTTTATTTTTTCCTGAGGGGTGTTGATTAATACCTCGTTAACAGCGCATTTAACGACCTCCGGGTGTTTAATAACCTTCAGAAGTTTCCCACAAAGGCTCAAACTCTGGGCAAGAAAATGAGAACCAGGCCCCAGCACTGCTCCCCTTACTTCCCCCTACCTCTGCCCCACTGGGGTCTGGGGCCTCCCTAGGCTGATGCAGGTCAGGGAGGGGAGGGTGGAGAGACAGGGAAGAAGAGGGCACCCGGGGCTCTCCCCTGATCCCCCAAGTCTCAGCCCTAGTGATCTGATGGCAGACACTGAGACATGCCTTCCCTCCTGCCTGCTGGTCTGAGGCGGTGGGCTCCAGGGAGAGGGAGCTGAAAGGGCGCTCCTGAGATGCAAGGGAGCATGTCAGGGCCTGGAGTGGTGCTGGGAAGGGTGTGAAGGGTGACAGTATACAGGGACATCTAGCTCAGGGGCTTGGCCCCCTCGCTGCCCCACCCCACCCCCACCCCACCCTGGGCAGCTCTCTCCTCTCCCTACTCTGGCCTGGACAACTCAGCCTTTGTGTTCCTACCCCACAGGGTGCTGGTTGTTTTCAGCACCGGCTGATCCCTAGCTGGTGTGCAGTGTTGTGGGAGAGGCTGGGAGAAGCAGGGCTCTCTGTGGATGCTGGTTTAGGTGTTAGTGACAAAGTCAGGCTGTGCTTCCCAGAAGCCCCTGACCAGCTGAGCTGTACCAAGCCCCTCCCCCAGATCATGTGGCGTGGGCAGGCCTTGTGAGCGTGCCCTCAAAGGGCCAGTCTTCCCCAGGAACCATCTCTTACCACTACCCGATGTGAGTGACCCCCCGCCCTGCCCAACAACTATGCAAAGAACACTAGAGGATCTGCCCCTTAGACACTTTGTCTTATCAACACTTGTTACCAATTCCAAGGGAGATTGCTTCTCCTTGAGAAAGCCCACAGCAGAGAAAAAATGAAGGTGCCAGAAAGTGGATATGATGAAGAAAGGACAAGGGTTAGAGCAGGGGAGGAGTTATAATAACCACCCACTGGTGTGTCGATTAGCAAATGGTACTCTTGGAAAGAACCAGGCTGTGGAATCAGAGTGACATATATTTGAATCCTAGCTACTGCATTTCTTAGCTGTGTGACCCTGTGCAAGTAACTTAACCTCTCTGAGTTAGTTTCCTCATGTGCGAGTTAGAGATAATAATAGTACCTACCATGCTCTATTAAGGTTATTCTAAGGATTGAGTTATACATACAAAACATTTAGCACAGTGCCTGGCACATGGTTAACACACAGTAGCCAGATCTGCCCATTTACCTGAATGGCAGAGGTAAGGGGCTGATGGAGTCAGTAGGGACTCAGGCTTCTGGGACACAGGACAGGCTTCCTGGGCAGTGTTGCTATTCTATTCTGGCCTGAGCTGAAGCAAAGACCTAGGGATGAGGCGGAAGAGGCATTTGACAGCCCAGCCCTTCCCTGTCCCCACCCCCACCCTGTGACCTCATGACCTGCCTGGGCCTCTTCCAGCTCTATGGCTACTGCTACCAGGACAGCGAGGACATCCCGGACACTCTGACCACCATCACGGAGCTGGGCGCCCCGGTGGAAATGATCCAGCTGCTGCAGACTTCCTGGGAGGATCGATTCCGAGTGAGCAGGGAGGAGGGCCGGGCTCTGGGCTATTTGCTGGGATGGTTCTCCCTTAGAAGGCCAGCCCTCCAGAGCAGCTCTGACTCCTCCTCAGTCGAGGGAGAGGGAGGGAAGGATGGAGCAAAGCTGACTCGGCCATCAGCCAAAGGGTTCAAAAAAGAAACAAGACAGAAGATCCTGAGGGTTTTGTGCTCCTGCTCCAAACACACACACACACCCCCTCACCCTGGCTGCAGGAGGGTCAGCGTCCTAGGACTAGAAAAGATCTTAAGTTCATCTTGATCCTCCCTCTACTTCCATACACTGGACAGAAGCTACACTAAAGATACACCTTCAGGGAGGAGATTCATCGTCCCTAGACTTCCCTGCTGCCCATTCCCTACGTCCTCCATGTTACCAGCAGGGTCAGGCCAGCCAAGGGGTAACAGAAAGTCACTGACTTGCTCAGTAAGGCCCCAAGCCTCGGTCCTTAGTGAACACTAGAGCCTTTAAGAGGAAGGCAACCCCTCGCCCCATCCCAGCTAAGTCCCAAGCCCCAAAAGAGGGAGTCCTGGAGCCCCCAGGCCCCCTCCCAGGAGAGAAGCAATGAGCAGCCCGGTGTCTGCCCCTCAGATCTGCCTGAGCCTGGGCCGCCTTCTCCACCACCTGGCCCACTCCCCGCTGGGCTCCGTCACTCTGCTGGACTTCCGCCCCCGACAGTTTGTGCTGGTGGATGGGGAGCTGAAGGTGACAGATCTGGATGACGCCCGCGTGGAGGAGACGCCGTGTTCAGGCAGCGCCGACTGCATACTCGAGTTCCCAGCCAGGAACTTCACCCTGCCCTGCTCAGCCCAGGGCTGGTGCGAGGCCATGAACGAGAAACGCAACCTCTACAACGCCTACAGGTGCCCTCCACCCCCACTCAGGAAGGCCAGTGATGGAGCGCGGGCCCCAGGGGCACCAGCAGGGAGACAGCCAGTGTGGGGTTCAGGGCAACAGCCAGGGCGGGGAGACTTGGCCGTGACCACTGGAGCAGCAGGGGCGGGGAAAGGCTTCCACCCAGTCAGGAAGGGAACATTCAGGCTCCCGAAGCTAAAAATAGTCAGCTCCAAGGAGAATCTGGGTTGGAGGGTGGCAGCTGGAGGCTTCTTAAAATAGTGTCAGACTCAGAGCCCAGGGCTGGTGGGATGGGCACTGCCCCTTCCTCCCCTAGCCCTTCACCCCTGGAAGCTCCTCATAGGACCAAGCCATGGGTCTGCTCTGACACTGGTCAACGGGGCGATAATGTGGGGCTTAGGGGGTGGGGAAGTCCTGGGGACAGTTGGGGAAAACAGACCTCAGATTTCGGTTTGGTATGATATTACCCGTGGCCCTAGCATGTGCCCAGACCTCTATCCTGAGTCTGAATAGACGCCGTGGCACGCTCTGGGGGTATAGATGCCTAGTTGGTTGGCCTGAGGGGTCAGGCTTCCTGGCCAGATTGGGGTTCTGTCCCAAGTTGGGGTAGAGAAGGGTGTGTCCCCAAAGGCAGGATCACTGAGTCCCTGACTTCTCTCTGCCCTAGGTTTTTCTTCACATACCTCCTGCCCCACAGTGCCCCACCCTCACTACGGCCTCTGCTGGACAGCATTGTCAACGCCACAGGTGAGCTCTCCAGGGCCCACCTGCTTCCCATCACCCTGCTCCTACCCCAGCAGGCATGGTAACAAGAATGACCCAGGACAGCTCATGCTCCAGAAACCATCATTTCCCAAAGTGACATTCTGTGGCAGCCCTTCTCCCTGATCCTCTGGACATCAGGACCCAGGCTCCAAGGGGAGAGGGAGAAAGGCAGCTGGCAGCCCACCTCAGGGAGAAGTCGGAGCCCAGATACCCTCTCATAGCCACACTGCACTCTGCAGGAGAGCTCACCTGGGGTGTGGACGAGACCCTGGCCCAGCTGGAGAAGGTGCTGCACCTGTACCGGAGCGGGCAGTATCTGCAGAACTCCACGGCGGGCAGCAGAGCGGGTGCGTGGCCTCGGCAGGGATCTAGGGGCTGGGGAGGTGGGGAGCAGATGCAAGGGTGAGTGACCTCCCAAAGAGGGCCCAGTGGCTCATCCTCCCTTTCAGCCTCACTTGGGGTGATGGAGAGACCGCTGAGCACTTAGCCTTCACTTAGAGGTCTTATCTCTGGCTGAGTGAGAACAATTATAATTGGGCCTTGAACTGAGGGGTGGGGACCAACACCCCTTCCTAGAGTGGCTGCAAACCCCACGATATACTGACTATGTAACTTTGAGCAAGTTCTTACACCTTGAACCTCACTTTCCTCATCTGTGAGTTGGGTTCAGTATTACCTGCCTCACAAAAGTCTCATGGGGAGTAAATGCCAAGTGAAATGTGTGAAAGCAATTAGCCCATTTCCTGTTACACAGCTGGAGCACAATGTATGTTTGCTTCTCTTTCCTTCCTCGCCCTTCTGGGGCTAGGAGGGCAGCTGGAGGTGGAGAAGGTCTCCACACTGAAACCAGTTAAGGAGCCCCAGAGCAGGGAGAGGATCCTAGCCACGGGGCTGTGGTCCCTGCGCTGAGGCCCTGGGGTTTAGCGTGGTTGGTAGGGGGCGAGGGATGGGCAGCGTCCGTATTCAAGGAGCTCCGGCCAGTCTGAGGGGTGGGGGAGCCCTCGTTAGCCCTGTAAATAAAGTTTAACGAGGTGAACAATGGCTGGCTCTGTCCCTGAGGACGCCGTTTATGGGGCAATAAATCACAGCCAACCCTGGACTTTGGTCTAGCCCCTGGTAGAAGGAGGAGGCAGGAGGGCGGGGTGGCCAGAGGCCCAGGGCTTCTGCATTATCAGCCCCGAGCTGGGGCTCCCCAGGCAGCGGGAAGGACTCAGGGAACAGGAGGCCTGAGCTAAACAGCTTCCGGACTGAGGAGATTCCAGAGCCTCTGGGGGCTCTTTCTGTGTAATGGGGAGATCTCAGATTCTTCCTCCAGCCTCCGCCCCTAACACTGAAGTTGTGGATTCCCACATGGTAATTTTTTTTGTGTGTTTTACATTTATTTGCATGCCTCTGAACTTCAGAAACTCCTGACTGCCTGCCCCTACGAGCTTGCCTAACCTCTCTCCCCAGGGCCAGGAGGAAATGGGACCAAAGGGCAGCTCTAAACTCTTGCTACTCAAAGCGTGGTCCACAGACTGGCAGCACTGGGAAGTTGGCTGCAAATGCCAGTTCCCAGGCCCCGCCACAGATCTTCTGAATCAGAATCTGCATTTTACCCAGATTCTCTGGAGATTCACACGCACATTGAAGTTTGAGCAACCTGGCTTTGAATGTCTAGAATGTCTTGAGCTCAGCAACCAGCCTGGACAGTCTGTAGCTCACGTGTGCATTTATCCCATGCGTGTGCCCACCATCATGTGCAGCCTGAACCAGCTGCATGCCCTTAGATTTGGGAGATGTGCGTCTCCCAAAAACTAAACCTGAGCTTTGCCTTTCCTGAGTGGTTATCCCGGTTCCACAACGGTAGCTGCCTTCCTCTCCATGCTGGGGGCACTGGGCTAGATTTCAGCTTTCACCTAAGAAATGAGTCTCACAGCCCCTTCGAGAAAGCGGCCCCAGCCGTCTCCCCTGGGGACACAGAGTTCTCATTTGAGTTCCGTCCCCAACCCACAGAGTACCAGCGCCTCCCAGACAGTACCGTCCCCCAGGAAGACTACCGCTGCTGGCCATCCTACCACCACGGAAGCTGCCTCCTGTCAGTGTTCAACCTGGCTGAGGCTGTGGACATTTGTGAGAGCCATGCCCAGTGCCGGGCTTTCGTAGTCACCAATCAGACCACCTGGACAGGTGAGCCAGTGGGAAAGGACATCCTGAGGGCGGTGACCTGACCTCCTGGAAGAGATTAACAGGTAGTGGTCCCCCATCAGAAACCAGAAATGATGAGAAGACAAGGAAGCTGAGATGATGAGAGACAAGCATCCTTAAGGCAGTTGTGTTAGGGAGAGTGGCCCCGCCTCCGGGGAGAGAAACATCCAGTCCAGTTACCTCTCATCTCTGTCCCCAGGCCGGCAACTGGTCTTTTTCAAGACAGGATGGAGCCACGTGGTCCCTGATCCCAGCAAGACCACATACGTGAGGGCCTCTGGCTGACCTGTCTGTGGGCTCAGCTGACCATCCCTGCCAGCTGGGCTTGCCTGTGACTTGCACTAGCAGCACTGCATGTCACCTGGGCACCACTGCAGACAAGGCTGACATCCCAGACAGACCGAGGTGACCAGGACAACGTGCAATACTGCCAAATGTTAAAATGTGAGTTTACCAGTCTAGGTCTAGGACTGCTGGCCTCAGGGCCAGGAATCATGGGGGGCTGACTGCCCCTCCCACCCTCTGGGCTGCCAGCAAGGCTCAGGCTGGTCTCCCCACTGGGGGCTCTGCCCCTCACTGGGACGGTTCTATGGGCAGCCCCATCACTGTGTTCATAGTGTGAGAATGTAGCCAGAGCCCCTGCTGCTGGTGCTGCTGCATGTGCCATGGCCCGGCGGGGGCCGCGTGGGGACAATCGGTCATGAAGCGCTCTCTCAGCCAAGCTCGCAGTGGGAGATTGGAGGGATGCTATAGGTTGTGGGCGATTCTGTACGTGGGTGGCCACCTCTGGGCACCCGACAGGGAGCACTCATGGGCCCGCCCAGGGACCGGGGCAGAGAGCACACAAGGTATGAGCCAAGTCGTGGGGTCAAGGAGCAGGTAGCAGTTTGAGCCAGGACCTGGAGTGGGGGTGGGGCCTTTCTGCCTCATTTGCTTTCAGTGAAAGCCGCAAAGCAGCCAAAACCAGCCTCTCCCCCTTCCTGGAGTTTGTATATCCAGAAGCTTTTGTACTTCTTACTCATTAAAATGTTTATTTTTGTAAAAAAAAAAAAGTCAATTAATAAAACGACATTTCACAGCAAGGACTCTTCCCAAGCCACAGTTTCTTGGGCTTACTCATCCTCAGTTATGTCTTTGATGTATGTTTGTCGGGGTTGGGACAATGTGTCATGGAGGATGTCCTTGGAGGAGTGAAAGGTCCATGGCAAACACTGAAGTCAGCAAAACGTGTTCTCAGGCCCAGCTCCCATGGAGCCCCTCTCCCTCCTTGGCCCTCCGCATCCATGTCCTGACCAGAGACACGAGGTTAAAATTTGAACACACACTGGCTTCTTACATACCAAGCCTTTACCCAAAGGATTCATGTCCTGATGGTGGGATGGCAGCCACGCCAGGGGACCTGAGCAGCCTCCAGTTGGGTCGGCTTTGCCTCCGTGCAGGGAGGCACCCGGCCATCCTCGCCACTGCCCACAAGGTAAGGCGCACTTTTCTTTTTCAGACCCTTTCTCTGAGCAGGAAATAAATATATGGAAAGTGGAGAGAAAGGAAAGCCATCGGAAAGCCCAGTCCCCTCTTCCTGGTTTTTAGAGGGAGAATCTAGCAGGGGAAGACCCAAGTGTATGGAAGCGAGAGCAAAAGAGTTCCAGATCACACTGAGGCCAAAGAGAGCCCCAGCGTGGATGCAAGTCTTCTAACCTGAAATCCCACATCGTCTCTCCTACACAACATTCTAAAATATTCTCAAAGTCCACAAACCTTTGAGGGCTTTAAAAAAGAGTAACCAAACTTCAACTCAGGACTCGATTTCTTCTCAGCAGGTGTGGGGGGGGCGTAATTCTAAGTGATTGAGGAGCCAGTGTTAGCTCCGGAGTCCACATCACAGATGCTGCTTGGACCCTCAGGGTTGCTCCCCACCACCACCATGCCCAGCACACACACCCCACATCTTGCCTCTGCCAACCTGGGCTTGGTGACTGTGGTGGGTGGAGAGGGTCAGAGTTTCCACAGAATCTCACACCATGATTCAGCCAAGCCGGGTCCTGCCCGTGCTCACCACCATCCATCCCCACTCCTCCCAGGAGGACCTCAGCTTCCATTAGCCTCCAGACCCTTTTCCTCAGCTGAGTCTGTGCGCTACCACACCTGTAGCCTGTCCCGTGTCATCCAGCGTTAGCGCTTACACTGCCCTCTGTTGGCCTCCAACTTCAAGCCAGTCTGTGGCGCCCGAGGGCAGGAGAACCACAGCACCACGCTGGGCCCAGTGAGGTGCCACGGGGCGGGGGTAGGAAGGCCAGTGGGGCCTGTGCCATCCGGAGGGAAACTAAGACCCTGGTTCCAGTCAGCAGAGGCCCACAGGGCTCGGGAGCTGCGAGCCTCAGTGAGGAAAGAGGAGACTAAAGGCAAACCAACCACTGCCTTCCTTCTGGGCTTCTAGAAGTTTCCAGATGAGGGGCTCACTGGCCAGTGGAGAGGGGCAGACTCTGGCCTTGGTGAGGTATGATTATCATTGCAGTTATACAGGCCTGAAACCTGAAGCCCAGGTCACAGTTGCTAAGGGATTTAGTGAGCGTTCACCCAGCCCTAACTTCCACGCCTGTGCAGGAGGGGAGGAATCTAAGTTAGAGTCAGGGAGCCCTTACTCAGTTTGCATGTGTGCCAAACTAAAACGGAGTTCCAAAGTGCACGAAACCTTTTTAGAGAGACTCACATGCAGGTGGCCAAAGGGATGCTGGATCGCTTCTTTCTCAGGGAGTGAGCCTTGCCTCCGAACCTGTACGTGGAGGGCAAAAATGGTGAGACTCAGTCCTGCAGAGTAAAGAGAAGGGCATTTGCAGCTGGGGATGGAGAGGTGGTTGAGTGCCCTGAAATGAAGGGGGTAGCGAATGAAAGCCAGAGGCGAAATCATCCCTTCCCCTAGATGGCCTATTACATGCAGCCACCTGTCTCCCTGGAAAACGTTCAGTTCCTGGGAACATCTTGTCCCCTTCCTGCAGAAGCTGGGCCCACCCCTGCCCACCCCAAAGTCTATGTTCCTTCCACTCCACTGCATAGCCAGTGATACCCAGGTCTAGTGCCCGGAAGAAATGTGTTCACCCAACTGAAGCCTCAAGTTCAGAGGAGGGAGGCAATGGGTCCTTTCCAGGCCCATGTTGTCACTCCTCCCCGATGAGGTTCTGTTGGAATTCTGGCCGGTCTTGCTTTTTGCTCACTGTGTGATCTGGGCTGACAACTCCCTGAGCCTCCACCCTCTCATCTGCAAATTTCACACTTATGATACCTGCTTCACAGGACTGTTATGGGAATTGAAAGAAGTTATGGACATAAACATCTTAGCCAGTGTCAGCAAACAGCAAGTGCTCAGGAAACACTGTCTGATACTGTCATCATTATTATAAGTAAGCAGAGTCCTCAGTGTTCAGACATGGCCGGGCCTACAAGAGTACCCAGGTCAGCTGGGGAGGACCCAGGGCCAGCCAGAACGTCCCCCGCACACTCCACCTCCAGCACCCCCACCAGGGACACTGCTGTCGCCTGGAGGAGGTGGACCCCGGCTCTCCGGGTCAGTGCCCTGGGAGTTGAGTGTGTGGCAGACAGAAGGAGGAAGAGGATTAACATGAAACCAGAAAATGGGATTAGGAGGCTTCAGGCTAATGTGCCCACCCACCCCCATCCATGACAGCAGCTTCTTACTTTCACTCTGTGGCTTCCGGAGCCCAGAGCCCGCAAGGCTTGGTTGTCCCCTGCTCCTGGTGGCAGAGCCAGAAAGGGACTAGGTGGACTTAGAGCGTGAGGAGACTCAGTCTGCTAGGAAGAGGGGCCTTCCTGTGCACTGTCTTACCTAATCCTCACTGCTACTCTGTGAGACAGGTGATGGCCCAGAGAGCTGAACCGCTGGGAATCAGGCCTAGGCGACTGTTCCTGCAAGACTGTGATCCCTCCTCTCTGCCCACCGTTCTCGCCCAGGAGCACAGTGCCCCACCGCAACCCGAAAGATCAATGATCTGCTCGGACCTGCCTCTCCCTTGGCAAGGATTCCAAGACCCGCACTCTACCTTTGATGGGAAACCCAAAGAGCAATTTAAGGAGACCAGGTCCGCCTCTCTGGCATCATCCCATAAGGGTGAGGTTGTCCCCTAGGAGCCAGACCTTTTTTAAGCACTCCTTTGAGGTCTGTCATGCATCTCATCTCCCGAGTTCACTTCTCTGTGAACCCAAGCCCATGCTATCCGCCCCCCAGGGTGGAGAAAGTGCTACATTAGTCCCAACTATGTGAAGGAGATGGACCACGATATTTTTTTAAATTACCTCTCAAGCTCTAGAGGATCCTTGATGACCGTGTAGGGGGAAGTTCATCTTCCACCCCATTCCAGAAAGCAGATCAAGGTCCCTATCAGCCTTTTTGAGGACAGTGATCCCTTGTCCTCCCGCCGCATCCCACCCAGCCCCCCACATCTCAGCTGCCCTCCACTGGCCTCGTTCCAGCTCCAAGAGGTCTCTCTTGAGGTGCAGTGACAAGACCTCCCCACTGTAGCATTCAGGTTCCCAACAGGAAACGGAAACCACAGTGAACACTGGATATATTTACAAATGTGTGGTACAGGGGGGCCCGCGGGCCAGCGCTATAACCTGGGACAGGAAACAGTAAAGCTGTTACCATCTCTCCCCAAGGGATGGGAGTGGGATCTACTACTAGAACCTGGAAGCAGAACCCAGGATGGGTCAAGGCACCAAAGGACATAGTCAGCCAGGAAGACCTCACAAGGAGGGAGCCAGTCTCCCCTCACTTTCCGTCCTCCCCTCCCCCACCATCTCCTGCCGAGCTCTCCATCAGCCAAACCCACCTTGAAGCCAGACGGAGCTTGATGTGAAGTCTATAAACGTCAGGGTGAAGAAGACAGCAGGGTGAAGAAGAGGAGAGAGCTGGTCAGGAGAGGCCAGAGGGATATACCCTGCACTCCATCCCACTTCATGTTTGAGCTTCCAGTTGACTTGACAGGAGTGAAAGGGAAGGCTTTCCTTTTTGGCTCCCAGTTCCATTCTTAGAAATCCAACCATTTGTTGCTCTGTTTGAATGAAGGAACACATCGGGCCCAAACCATCAGGGGGTCCTCTACAGCGTCCATTCTCATCAAGGGCACCACCATCCCCAAGGAGATAAAACTCTTGGGAGATGAAAAAAATCCTGGATATCACAGTGGTTTGCAGGCCTCCGCAGGGCCACAGTACATAAACAGACATGCAGTATAACTGTGCTGTTAAAATGCAATGGGAGGGGTAGCATTTAGGGAAAGAGTATCCACCAGAGTACTGGGCAGGGTGTGCAATGATGAAAAACAGGTTTAGAGGCACTGGATTAGGGTAATCCAAAAACCCTTTCTTGGGCTGTCACTGAAAGCTGTGAATCTGTCACCCTCAAAAGTATAGTTTACGTTATTTTCTCTAAACTGATAAATACGTTTATGTGTGCTCACTGTGCAGTTCATGATAAAAACAAAGTGCAGTTTGAATTACTTTTCACTTAACGTTTTATTCAACCTACGCTGGCCCACAACGGACATCTTGGACCACGTGAAGCCTCCTGCATCTCCCTGCAGCTTACAGGCTTTGGTCCACGGCAAGCCGGGGAATTTCAATGTATACTTACTCTTCTCCCCACTGATCAAGCCACAGGATATTTCTGGAGTGCTAGTCACTGTCATGAATATTAAAATATCAGACATACCTGCTGCCTTTTAGGAGCTCACAATGTCACTAGAGATGTCACAAAGATGGACAAATTCAACAAGGCAATATATGAGCTGTGACTATAGAGCAATGAGGCCAACTTCCACATGTGGCTTGCAAGACAAAGAGCCTGATGGTCAAATCTCAAATTATCATGAAGGACCAGTTCACCCAGGTCTCCAGGAACAGCAATTCCCCACCACGAGCCCCACCATTAACACCTTTCCATTCATCCAGAGGAAGACTTGTCTATCCTTTCTCTGTATTTCTTATCTGTAAGTCAGTTCCCTTTTGTCACCAGACATTCACCCCCAACCCCCCATTCCCATGGCAACTCAATGGGCTTGGGTATGGAACC